TTCAGCCTGGGGGTCCCCAGGTCGGTGACGGTGATGGTGATGTTGTATTCGGCCTGGCTCTCTCTGTCTAGGGGTCTCTCTGTTACCAAGGTGTAGAAATTCTCTACCGATGGCTTCAGGACGAAGGGGAGATGGTCTTGTATGGAGCACACCATCTTTGCATTGTTCCCTGAATCTCTGTCTCTGATCCTAAAAACAGCGACTACTGTCTCTGGTGAGTTTTCTGCAATTGGACTAGTAAGTGATGACATGAGCAGTTCTGGTGGATTATCGTTTATATCCGTTACATGGACCACCACAGTACATTTTCCAGAAAGCCCTCCACCATCTTTGGCCTGAATAGTTAATGTATAAGTTTGTATTGCCTCGTAGTTCAATTCGGCTTTAAGATGAAGATTGCCAGATGTTGAATTGATTCGAAACGTTTTGAGAATTCTTTCAGTAGCGTAAAAAAATGCATAGACGATTTCTCCATTACTTCCGGTATCTAAATCTCTAGCTGACACAGTGACAACCAGGGAACCAACAGGGCTGTTCTCAGGCACCTGGACTTTGTAAAGCGACTCTACGAATTCAGGGACGTTGTCATTTATGTCCAAAACCAGGATGCGTATGAGGGTGGTTCCGGATCTGGGGGGAGAGCCGCCATCCAAGGCGGTGAGGGTTAAACGCAGCTCAGGAACCTCTTCACGATCCAGCACTTTATCCAGTACCAATTCGGAATAAACATTCCCTTCCCCATTATCATGGACATTAATATGGAAATAAACATTGGAGCTGACAGTGTAGTTTCTCAGGTTGTTGATTCCAACATCTGAATCCTGTGCACTTTCTAGGAGAAATGTTGCCCCTGGAGTGGTACTTTCTAATATGTTCAAGGTAATCTCTCTATCTAGAAATACTGGAGAATGATCGTTGATGTCTCTGACCCACAGTTCAGCACGGAAAATCTGAAAAGGCTTTTCAAGTAACAACTGGAAAGGCAACACACATGGCTCTGTGGGGCCACACAGTTCTTCTCGGTCTAATTTCTCATTTAGAAGTAAATCACCAGTAAGCGGATTGAGGAGTAAAAATCCTGTGGTTTTATCTGAAACAATTCTACATCCCCGAGCTGACAGTTCCCCCGCCCCTAACCCCAGATCAATTGCTAGGTTGGCCAGAAAGGTCCCTCTCTCCGTTTCCTCTGCCACAAAATACCGAAGTGGTTCTGCGCCAGCCCAAGACACTCCCAGAAACACACAAAGAAGTAACACTTGCCTGTTCTGCAATGCGTGCACCACTCTGGCCTCCATTCTTTGTTTAAGCAATCTTTCAAAACCACGCGTTCACTCCGCCTCAAGCAGCTCTCAGAAATGGCAGAAATCGAATCCTTAGAAATGAGCTGGATAATAGCAATGGTCGTGGGGAGGAGTCCCACTTTTCCCCAACCCCATCACCAGCGTCTCCTTTCCTCTACTTTTCTTGTCTGGCCAGCTTTTCCTCTGAACATTGTAATTTGTAACGTCCTTTGTGCGGGTATTTCCCCCTCTTTTTAGCCAGCAGCGCCACCTTGCGTTTTGTGGATGTTATTCACGTTTTCAAGAAAAGAACAAAAAGATGGCCGGTTAAAGGAACTGCAACAGGAGTGATTTTTTTTTTTCTTATCCCCAAGGGTCTTTGCGGTTTTATTAGAACTTTTCCCTCAAACGGTCAAGGTAATGTTAGTAGGTTACATTGGTTTTCCCTCTGAATATTTCATTGCTGCATATTATACAAAGATCCTCTCCATTTTAAGGGATACCCAGGGCTACACCCCCCACACACACACATACACACATATATAAATGTTTATACAGTATATATTAAGAAATATAAAGATGCTCTCTCTCCCCAACTCCAGGAAAATATATAGAAGCCCCCATGATGTCAAGTAGAGCAAAAGAAAAAGAAAAGATGTCTGGGAAACTGTAGCTACAGGTTGGTCCTCATGTGTGTTTATATTTTCGATATGCATATGTTGAGTTGTGAGAAACATCAACCCATAAACTCGGTTTGCAGTGGTTCCCTACTGATTGATAGCAATTCAAGGGTCCTAGCTGAAACCAATGAAAATACATTAGGAAGAATGAAATAAGCAACCTAGGCTTTGAGGACATCCTACAAATAAAAGTTCAAGGGCAGTCAACCATATGAATCACACAAAGAAACAAAGATAACATGCACGAGAATAATACAGCAGAAACAGACCCACACAAACTTCAGCTTTTAAAACTTCAGATTTAAAAACCAATTATGTTTACCATACATAAGTAAATAAATGACATGCTTGAACACTTGCATAAACAGACTGGAAAGGTACACTGACTTTAAAACATAAAAGGTCTATGGGCTCAGTCCAGTAAGTGTCTGCCTACAGCTTGGGTCATGATCTTGGGATCTTGGGATGGAGCACCCTGTAGGGCTCCCTGCTCAGTGAGGAGCCTGCTTCTCCTTCCCTCTTCCTCTGCCGCTCCCCCTGCTTGTGTTCTCTCTCTCAAATTAATAAAATCTTTACAAAAATAAAAGCTCTAAATAATTATGAGGATTATCCTTTAAAATACACTGTAAATACTATAAACATTGATAAAGTATTATATATAACAAAAAGCATAAAGTAAGGTGAATAGAGGATGGAGGATGTCTAAGAATGTTTCTTTGCTCATTTTTTAAAAAAGATTTGTATTTGACACAGAGAGAGAGAGATCACAAGTAGGCAGAGAGTGGGGGAAGCAGGCTCCCCAGTGAGCAGAGAGCCTGATGTGATGCGGGACTCAATTCTAAGGCTCGATCCCAGGACCCTGAGATCATGACTGGGGCTGAAGGCAGAGGATTAACCCACTGAGCCACCCAGGGGCCCCTCTTTGCTCATTTTTAAGCAAGCAGTTAACTGATGCTAATATCTTAATATGCATCATATTCTTGGTTTTTTTTTTACCTTATAGGAATTATTTCTCTAAGCTTAAGCAAGATCTATAGTTTCATATAATTTTGCTTTACTACATTCAAGTAAAACATGACAGTTTTAACTATGAGTCTACCAATTTATTACAGATCCATTTTATGAAATTATTTTCACTTATTAACTTATTCTTGTATGCATTCATAGAAATATTTTAAGGATATTGACTTAATAATTACTTGAGTGCTGAAATAATGATGTTAATTTCCCATGTTTTCCAGTATGGAGTTTCCTCAAAAAGTTAAAAATAGAACTACCCTCGGGTGCAGCACTGCACTACTGCCATTTACCCAAAGCATACAAAAATATAGTTTTGAAGAGGTACATGCCCACAATGTTTGTAGCATCGATAGGCAAACTATGGAATGAGCCCAAATGTGCATCAACTGATGAATGGATAAAGAAGATGTAGGCTATATTTAGAGTGGACTATTAGTCATCAAAAAGAATGAATTCTTGCCATTTGCAACAATGTGGATGGAGCTAGAGTGTATTATTCTAAGTGAAATAAGTCAGAGAAAGACAAATACCATATGATTTCTCTCATATATGGAATTTAAGAAACAAAACAGATGAACATATGAGAGGGGGAAAAGAGAGGGAAACAAACCATAAAAGTCTCTTCATGATAGAGGCAAAACTGAGGGCTGATGGAGGGAGGTGGGTGAGGGATAGGCTAAATGGGAGATGGGCATTAAGGATGGCACTTGTTATGATGAGCACTGGGTGTTATATGTAAGTGATGAATCACTAAATTCTTCAAAAAACAATATTATATTGTATATTAACTAACTAGACTTAATTTTTTAAAGATTGTATTTATTTATTTGACACACACAGAGAGAGAGATCACATGTAGGCAGAACAGCAGGCAGAGATAGAAGAGGAAGCAGGCTTCCCACTGAGCAGAGAGCCTAATGTGGGGTCTGAGATCATGACCTGAACTGAAGGCAGAGGCTTAACCCACTGAGCCACCCAGGCTCCCCACCTAACTAGACTTTAAATAAAAATTTGAAAAAGAAAAAAAATACTTTGTTTTCTGTTCACATTGAATGTGTTTGAATCATGTGACTATATTATATATATATATATATATATTAAAAGAATGAGAATCATAATTTACATACCCAAGCCATTTATTATGAAAAAGTAATCACCAGTCTACTAATATCTTTTCTACTTTTTCTATTTAACAGGGATTTAATTCTTTTTTTTTTAATTTTTGAGCACTCCTGAAATGAAACTTTTTTTTGAGATTTTATTTTATTTATTTGACAGAGAGAGAGAGAGAGAGAGAGAGATCACAAGTAGGCAGAGAGGCAGGAAGAGAGGGAGAAGCAGGCTCCCCACTGAGCAGAGAGCCTGATATGGGGCTCAATCCCAGGACCCTGAAATCATGATCTGAACCAAAGGCAGAGGCCTAACCCACTGAGCCATCAGGCACCCCTCAAAGATACTAATTTTTAAAGAAAATACTCAACTTAGAAAACATCCACATAAAATATTAGTTCCTCAGAGGAAAGATTACAGTGTTTTCAAAACATTAGAGAAATCCAACCATTTCCAAGGTAACAAAAATTGTTGTATAAATGAGAAGTATTTTAAAAATTGAAAGCCATCAGTTACAGGACATTATGCTGATAACCAGAAAACACAATTCTCTTAGTCATAAGAAGCTATCAGTAAACACGCTCAAACATCAGGAATCTGAAAATATTTCCTGACCCCCTAAACTGAGAAACACCATTTCTCCACTATTTTATGAACATGCAAAATGTGACTTGGCTAAAAACTGCAACAGCAAAAACAACAAACACCTGGAGATTCAGAATGTAAAATACTTCAACAAGCTGAAAGAACTGTAAATATAATTATTAATGTATGAAATTGTAGCTCTTTATGTGAATGAACCAGTTAGGAACTAATAATGCATTAGTTAATATTATCATTTATCTCCTCTTAAAGTGAGATGCCTAACTGAACCCAAAATGATTTCTCAAGTGAGAGTTTTCCTCCGTGCCCCTATCAGCCCCTTCACCCACGAAGTTGGGGATAATGGGTTTGAGGAACTTGAACTCGCCGGTCCCAGACTCTTCCTTCAGACACACGTCATACTGGTAGCTGTGGGACAGGGTCCCCGCGCCGC